TTATTATTATTATTATATTATTATTATTATTATCATTATTATTATTATTATTATTATTATTATTATTATTATTATTATTATTATTATTATTATTATTATTATCAGCATCATTATCATCATCATCATCATCATTATTATTATTATTATTATTATTATTATTATTATTATTATTATTATTATTATTATTATTATTATCATTATTATTATTATTATGGTCAAGAAATAGTAATAACACATTTCCCGTTTAGAATAGATGTCAGAATTTCGGGTGAATATGGTTTTCTTGTCAAGCTTCAGTTTTTGGAAGTCCATGCTCCCATCTTTACTAGGGTTCCAAAGTATCGTTCAGAAGATGCTACATGTATTCAACTTAAGTTTCGTTGTGGATGTTGCAAAGCTGCTAAAGTGGCACTGAGATATGTACTCTATCAGTATTCTTTGTTATCATTTATATTATTCAAAGCTTCAGTAGTGGTGCTCAGGAGGAGGGTCATAAACAACAGGAGGGTAATTACAACGGGAGAAAGAAGAGTACAAATAGACGAAAAGTAGGAGAGTGTGGAGTCGTGGATTATCAAAGAAAACAGGTTATAAGAGCAACAAAGACAAACGAAAGAAAAAAAAAGTCCAAAGAACACAATCTCCTTCGTTTTCAACCCCCCCCCCCCCGCCCCACCATAAACACACAAAGTCAACTGAAACCAAAAATCAAAGCAATCCTCTTCCCCATAAAAACACATCCCACCCCATCCCCCAAAAGGAGAACAAATCAAATAAACGGAACCCATACAGAAACATAAAATACTAACGACCCCACCTTCCCTTGATCTGACCCCCCCCCCGAAGGAATAAATAAGCCTAATAAAGGAGAACGTATTATTGACCAAGCTGAAAACACAAGAAGGAGAGGCTCAGAGCAGATACTGACGAAAGAGCCGGAAGTCGATGAGTAAGAGTTCACAACAATTCTAAAATCAAAGAGGAAACACATATAGTCAGGGAACAGATAAATAAATGCCGCATAATATATAATATATATATATATATATATACATACATATATATATATATATATATATATATATATATATACAATTTAAAAATAAATAAATGCCAAATAATATATTTATATATATATATATATATATATATATATATATATATATATATATATATATATACAATTTAAAAATAAATAAATGCCAAATAATATATATATATATATATATATAATACACAATTTAAAAAAAAGCTTTTTGGACCTCATTCTCTTTTTAAAATCGCTCGTATTATGTATACATCATTCTAAAAAGAAAAAAAGAGATATAAAAGGAGAAAGCTAAAAGCCAAGCAAAACATCCCAAAGATTATATTATTATGTTGAATGGAGGGATAAAATGGAAGAATGGAAACAATATGGGTAGGGTGTCGGTGGGTTCGGAGTGGAGGAATTTCGGAACAATAATTGACATTTTCATAGCTTTGAAGTCGCACTGGACATCGTAACATCATTTTGAAACAGGACTCATGGCCCAAATGAAATGGTATGGGTTTAACGCCCTTATCAACACTGATAGGTTATCTTAGAGGCGGCACATATCTCTGTGAAGAAGGAAGTAGCAGGGCAGAAGATATTGGGCATGGTGGCATAAGTGATTCTGCGTGCTGATTACATAACCAGCTAGTGCACCCTGGGCTTATTTGACACCCCTCCCCATCTCTTCAAACGAGCCATCGAAGGGAAAATCCCAATAATGAAGGTTATAACGGAAGAAAGAAAGAGAAAGAGAGAGAGAGAGAGAGAGAGAGAGAGAGAGAGAGAGAGAGAGAGAGAGAGAGAGAGAGAGAGAGAGAGAGAGAGAGAGAGGGAGGGTGGGGAGGGGGAGAGGAGGAGGAGAGGATATGAGTGGAATAGGATGAAGATCGTAATGACATCAAAGGAAGACACTCACACACACACACACACACACACACACACACACACATACACACACACACACACACACGCAAGCGCGCGTGCTCGCTCACACATACCGACACTCACACATACACATACGTACACACCCACACCCACATCACATTACACCCACACCCACTCAGCCACACACACACACACACACACA